AGCAAAGAGGCAGTGAAATCACAAAGGAAGCTCATTTGAGATGCAACAGACACCTAAAGAGATATGAAATGTTCTATTTTTCAGCTGTGTTTTACAGGACCTTTTAGTTTGATTCTTTTATTTTCTTAACATTGCCAAATACTGATCACTTTATTTTTATGTCAGAATTATGTAAAAGGATTTAAATTTTCCTTGAAAATCATGTACACATTCAGAATGTTACTAGCTGTACATTTCTAAAATGTAACTAGTTTAGCTCTCATGGCATTAGATATTCTGTGACTCAGCCAAACTTCAGAGGATTCACAGAGATTGAACGCTTTAAAAGACTTCTGGAACAACTCATGCACTAGAGCAGGTGCTAGAAAGACAAGCCAAAATCTCCTCTATCAATTCCCAGGTAGATTTCCTCCATTCAAGCATACATCAAAGGTATTTGCTGAACAAAATTACCTCTGCTTTTAGACTTGGTACCACCTTGCTTTTTAGATCATGCTAAGAGTGATGGAAAAGACCACCTAAAATGAACCCATTCTCTTTGTTTTGGTTATTAATATTAAACTACTTCCTTGTAGGATGGATATGCCAGTCAAAAGGCAGCAATTGGTATCCAGTGTTCTTCTCCAAGTTTCCTTTCTTGGTAGTCAGGGCAAGCTTTGATGACTCTGGAATTAGCCCTGTATTTCAGAATTGCCTCAAGTCACGATCCTCCTTGGCTTTGTAAGAGACTCAGTATTTTGTGCTGAACATCTATGCTGATTCCTTATTCCAAGGGCTAAACCAGCTGTTTGAATCTGGCTGCTCAATATTTCAGTTGTCAATCTTTTTGGAAGCTGGACCTTTGTCCCATTACAAACCCGTATTAACTGTGAATTGATCTCCCAGTTCACAGCTGCCTGCCTGTTTGGCTTCCTGCCTAGATTTCTCAGCCCAGAATCTGTCACTGTGCTCTCATACTTGAAGCCCTAATATTAGCTGAACTACGACTGAAATTATGTCTGTCACTCAGCTACTATCTGTTCATCTAGGCGTCACTTCTTTGGTATGTCTTCTGCTAGAGGGTAGGATGAATATAGTTATGCATCCTTTCTTCTCTTTGCTGCTCCATTTATTTTGTTTGTTTGTTTTTGTTTTCTGGAGGTGCCATGTGGCTTGTGGGATCTTAGTTCCCTGGCCAGGTATGGAACTCATGCTCCTTGCAGTTTAAGCTAGTGTTCAAACCACTGGACTACCAGGGAATTCCTGCCCAGTATTGTTTTAGACAGACATGATTCAGAGTTGATATAAGCGAAAAGTTAGCAATGTTTATGATTATAGGCAATAGGGTGAAGTCCATAAAAGCAACTGATATACAAAATAAGTTAATATGTAATTCTCCAATAAAGGCACACAGCAGTAGGTATTTCATAGTCTAGCACAATTTGGGAATCCAAGCAGATGTCTAGACAATTTACATAAGGCGATTCTGTGTAAAAAGCATGAGGCCAATGCAAGGAATGCTTTGATGTTCCATACCAAAATCTCCACCTATAGAAGGTTGGCTAGAAAGTCAAGACCTCAGGCTTTGAAAGATTGGACCCAAGAGGAGTTCCTGGGACATGAATAGAAGAGCAAGATAAGGCTCCAGGTTCTAAACTAGATTATGGAGTGGGGATTGGATTGTGGGTAAACTTCAGATGTCAAGACGTTAAAAATGGAACTTAAGAATTGGAAAAGGAGTACAATTTGAGTTGATGGTGATTCATCTGAATATGAATCAGAGCTTCTTAAATTGTCCCAGACCCTGATCATCACTGAGCCTCAGATCATGGAAAATGCAGTCATGGAAATAGAGATTTTGGCTTTTAATTCATTAGTTTATTCTTAGTGGTCTCCCTCTAAAACTATTCCAACATGAACTATGACCAGAAAACGGTTAAAAAGTGACAAGAACAAATCTGAAGGTGGTTGTCTTCTCTTGGGCCATTTATAAATGATTACTGAATGTGTTTTTCATTCCTATGCATGCTTAAAATGAAAAGCCCATCTTCAGGTGGTATCTCTAAAGTTCTCTGTAAGGCCTGTGTATCAAAAACCAACTTTTTCTTTTTTCCCTTCAATTTTATTATGGAGCCAAGCTGTGGTTATATTCCACTGGGATATATTCTATTAGGATTATTCTAGTTTTTACACATATCGATATGTGTATGTCTGTATATGTGTATGTCTTTGTAGGTACGTATAGAAGGTTATACACCTAAATCTATAAACAAGAGGAAGTAAAAGGTTTTGTCCTAACTTAGACTAGTGCCTTATTATCTACAGAAAAGGATTTGAGAATAAAGAATCAGCTTTTTATTCTCTTTAATATTGCACCTGGTCTCTGAAATAGTGTAAGTTTCTGCCAAGGTGCATGTCAAAGCAATTACTGTAATTTGTTGTATTTTAGGAATAGCTCTGATCATTTCAATCCGAATATTTATTGCAATTCTATTGTCTCAGCTTTGTAATAAATTGAATGTTGTGCAAAAATAATAATGTTCATTTTCTTCTCTAGGGTCACCTACAGTCTAGCAAGGTACACAATAAAACAATTTAACTTGAAGCACAGTATGGAAATTTCTAGCAAAATATATAATGAAAAAAGTTATATACAGAAAGCTGCACAGGCGTTAAGCATGTTATAGTGCACACACACAAACACTCACACCAGAGAATCTCAGCCAAAAGACAAACAATCCACTTAAAAATGGTCCAAAATCTTGAAGAGACATTTCTTCAAAGAAGATATTCAGATGGCCAATAAGCACATGAAAAGATGTTGAAGATCATTAGTCTTTAGTAAATGACTACTCCAGTACAAATAGTAATCATTTTATCCATAGGATGACTATAGTCAAAAAACTAAAAAATAACAACGACTGACAAAGATACAGAAAAATTGCAACCCTCATACGTTGCTGGTAGGTGTGTAAAATAGTACAGCCCTGTGAAAATCTGTTCGGCAATTCCTCAAAACGTTAAAACATAGAATTACCATATGACCCAGCAATTCTCCTCTTAGGCAAAGAGCTGAAGCATATATTTGAATAAAAACATGTATATGTGAACATTTGTAGCATTTTTATTCATGGAAAAAACTCAAATGTGTATTAGCTGATGAATAAAAAACAAACTGTGATATATTCATAAAATGTAATATTTTTAGCTGTAAAGAGGAATGAAGTACTGATATGTGCTACAATATACATTAATCTTGAAGACTTTATGCTAAATGAAAGAAGTCAAACACAAAGACAATGCCTTATATGATTCCTTTTGTATGAAATGTCTAGAATATGGGTTTCTTTTTTGACGTGAAGAAAATATTCTGGAAGTAGACAGTGGTGGTGGCTTCACAGTGACTTGTATACTTTAAAATGGTTTAAGTGGTAAGTTTATGTTCCGTGAATTTTATCACTGTAAAAATGTACAGTCACATACACTTAAAACTAAACACGATTTGCAATATAAAGAAAGTTATAAATTCCAAATAAAAGTGTGAAGTGAAGTGAAGTGAAGTGAAGTGAAGTTGCTCAGTCGTGTCTGACTCTTTGTGACCCCATGAACTGTAGCCTACCAGGCTCCTTGGTCCATGGGATTTTTCCAGGCAAGAATACTGGAGTGGGTAGCCATTTCCTCCTCCAGGGGATCGTCCTGACCCAGGGATTGAACTTGGGCCTCCCTCATTGTAGGTAGACACTTTACCATCTGAGCTACCAGGGAAGCCCCAAATAAAAGTGTAATTTGTAAAATATAGGCATGATACACTTAATGGGCATCTAAGAGTGAATTTTCTAAGAGTTTTTCAAAAGCTCATTTGTAAATTAATTTTTTTGGGAACTGGAAAATGTTTTATGGTGATTCAAATATAACTGAGTTTTGAGGGTAGGCAGGAAGGATTATATTCAAGTGCTGGGAAATAGTATCCACTCCCTATCCCTTAATAGGAAACTTAAAATCTGCTTATTTCCCACATTTTAGTTTCAAGCTCATTTTATCATTGTTATTTAAACTTGATTGAATATTTAAAAGATAATGATATTTGTTGTATAATTTTCTTCTTTAAATATATTGTAATTCTGAGATTTCTTGATCAAAATTATATTTTGACATGATAACATTATGTTAGCAGATTGACTACATACATTTTTATTACATTTATATATAATTTTTAAACTCATAATTGTGATCTTCATGACATGATTTCCTGTGTTAATTCAATTCTTTTTTTATCATCTTAATATGATGAAACTCCTGAAAAGTATAAAAATTTTGGAAAATCATAATTTAAAATACTTTTGATAACATATCTAAACTTTTCTTAATTGACAAAAAGTAATTTGAGGCTTATGGATATTTAGAAAATTCTCTCTTGCAAGATAATAAGATGTATCATTTGCCTCTGAATGGATCCTATTTTTCTTATCTATCCAGCAGGGCTATTTTTAGTTAATGGAGTGATATATGGAAAATGCACTATGTATGGTAAAGAATAGCTAGGTTTTCTGTTTTTTTAAAACTATGTCATTCACTTAAATGTTATAAAGAAAAGGAAGGGGAAAAACATGCTACTGATTCATTATTTGCATATTAATTCATATAGTAATAGACAGTGGTCCCATTCTTGGACAGAACATGTTTTCTTCTGTTTCTTTTCTTTTCTTTTATTTTTTGCCACATACATAACTTACCGGATCTTAGTTCCCTGACTGGGGATTGAACCTGGGCACAACAGTGAAAGCGCTGAGCCCAAACCCCTGGACCACTAGAAGAATTCCCATTTCTTTCTTTGTGTGTGTGTGAGTGATTGCCTTTTTCAATTATATATCCCTTCAAAAATGATAAAGAATGTTTCGCATATTTATCTTAAAATTTACTATCTTGTGGTATTTACTTATATTTTAAGAAGTCTTGGTTTCTGAACTGGGTTATGCAAGTGTACTAGCAGATATAAACAATGTGTTTTCTATTTCTTATAGATTCTACAAAGAAATTAAAAGATGTTCTTGAAGAATTCCATGGTAATGGTGTGCTTGCAAAGTATAATCCTGAAAGGGTAAAGCCTTTTTTTCTTTATTTAAGTTTCATATAGATGTTTGGAGGAGGGATTTCTTAACGAAGAGTTCTTGGAAATGTATATTCATATCCAAAATGAAATTCATAATGAGATGCTATTCTGGAACATGCATTAAATGGTGTACTGCTTATTTTCATCCCAAAATGTTTTGCTAATGAAAATAGCATTTCTATATTGTATGCTTGGAAGTGTATAGATTATCTCTAATATATGCTAGGTTCTTTTCCTAAAAGTCAGGAAACACTTTTAGATAAGAAAAAGAGAAAAAGCGTGCCTGACTCTCTCTAAGACCTACTTAATGTTAACTTGGCATTGGGGCTGGAAGTGGTACCTTGACTGAAGGAAAATTCTGTGATGGATATAAGTGATCTGTCACTTTAAAGAGCAAGCCTTGATACAAAGAGAGGAATTTATTCTCCTAATCTTGTTTTTGTCTGGTACCAGTAAGCTTTTGAGTCTCTGAAATTCTTTCCCTATAAAAACTTGATGTATTGTCTAATTGCTTTGAAACTCCTTTCTTGAATGAATGCCTTTCCCTTCCTAATTATTTGTTAATAACCTTGTCTTTTATGTTAGTTGAGAAATGCTACATATTAGATGTTTGATCATCATTGCTGTAAGTTCTTTGGCAGCTTTACCAAGTGATAGTTGCGTTTTATGGGAGTTAAAACAAACTGCCCAGAACTCTTTTACCTGGATATATTATCTAGGTATTTAGACAGCTTTGTTTGCTGATTAAAATGTGATTTGGTTTTTGTCATCATTGTTATTGTGGTTTTGAATGTTTACAAAATGACTGTTCTTGGCTATCCTTAATATTTTACTTCTCTGGGATTTATAAAACTAATGTTTTAGTCAAAACGCAGTCTTTAAATTCTGACCTCATTTTAGTATTTTCAATATTCACTATTTTTATTACAATAATTACTCTTTTTCCTTTTATATTTTTATACTGTCTGCATTCCAATACATAACTATATCTTTTAAAACTTTTTAATCTGAGATTCATTTTGTTTTTTTAAAAAATAAAGTTAATGTTTAGTGCCTACAAATGATGCAGAAAATAGACAACTTAAAGCCACTTCTATTTGCCTATATGGGAAAAATCACATATTTGCCCTCATTCTGCTCAGATTTTATTTTCCTAGATGCTTTAGAGAGAGAGAAAAAAAATGTTGGCAGATAAATTTGTAGAACTGAAAATCTCAAAGACCAAGAAAGCAGGGTTGAAAAGGTAAAAATGACAGCTTTATTGAATTGTTATAAGACCTCCGAAATTCAGTAATTATTTACATTCTCAAACATAGTTGAAAACCTGCATGTACCTATTTATGTACAGAGAGAAACCAGTTTTTGCTCCCTACAGATAGCTGTCATCTATAAATTGATGTGGAATGTGGGCTTGTTTGCAAATAGACTTTTTGCTTCAATTATTTCTTATTTAAAGGACTCTCAGGACTTAATCTGACTGATAAATGGATTTATTGAGGTAATTACTAGATTCGTTATTAGACACGTATGATGTCAGCCTTCTCAATAATGTAATACCTCTCCATAAATGCACAGATTTGTTCTTGAAATGCATTATTAAAATAATGAACAGTTGAAAAACAAAAAGTTAGATCTTTTTAAGACTCAAAAGTATCTCTAATTTGAGTAAAACCTCTCTCAAATTTTAAAGTTGATAGGAATTTTCCCTTCAGGAGAAAAATTTAAAGTTTTTATGAGTCTTTTAAATACTAGTATGTATTTTATAAAAATCAACAGGAAATATTTAGAAATATTCAATGTTTAGAATTGAAACTTCAAAGTCTAAAGATTCTGTTTGGTGCATACCTTCATCAAGTTTATAAAAGTTTACTTAAATAGTAGGAAATAATTCATACTGTCAACTAATATGTGAAAATATTACTGTCTATTGATTGGTCAAGTTGAGCTCAGAGCAGACATAGTTGAGTGCCTAATTAATGTTCAGCTATACAAGAAAAACTAGGAAAGCAATTAATCTAGTCATGCCTTATAGTAAATGACTAATACTTTGTTTTCTAAAATAGACATAGTCTGTATCATCCATGGAAAGAAAGTGTTACTTCAAAGAGACTACAACCTAAATATCTCTCAAATAATTTTCTCCTTTACAAAGTAAAGCTCCTTAAAGGGTAGATGTATTATTTTTATTATCACTTACTTGAACTACTGAATTATAAAAGCTGTATATACAAACTTATTCCAATGAAAATGTGACCTATTTTAGTCTATGTGAACAGAGAATATTAAGTGTAATATATGGATGAATCATTTATTTTTAATTCCTATGAGGAAATAAATGATATAATCATAAAATATATGTTTAAACAATGGCTTTAAAGATGTTTTAAGCATAAAAGCTTGAGGAAGGTCTTGAGATAACCAAATATGATTGTAAATAAAGAAACTGATTTTAGGAAAAGTAAAATGCTTTTCCCAAGATGTACCATCTAGGTTTGTGACAATAGTGATAATTAAAATCTAGATGTGTGTAATCCCAGTTTAAGATATTTCCTGTTTATTTAATTGATGAGGCTATTAGAATGAGAGGGAAAACCAAGGGATATGAGAAGAACGAGGGGAAGGAAAACATTTTTCATATGCATTGAATGGTATTACTTATGTATGAGCATGGCATGTTCCATTGCACCCAATTATTACTAATTCATACCCAGCAAGGTAAGAGATGCCTATTAGTTTCACCTAATTTTATGTGAGCAATGTAAAGCCTATCATTATAGGTAGATTGTAATGGCCATCCATTCTTAGTGAGAAGGTTCATAGTAAACCAGTCAGAACATCGCAGATATAATAGATTCATGAGAGTAGTAGAATTTTGTAATATGAGAATCAGTTTGTTATTGAAAATGTAAATATTTTCCCCTGGATTTCAAATTCCATATCAAACTGTTTTGTTGGCTTCTAAAACAATGGGAAGAAATTAAGTAGTGGTATAGAGAAATTAAATATCTACCTTTAAAGAAATGGAGAGAAGCTAGGCATGTTATTCTAACAGGAGGAATCATTAGAAGTGGGGAATAAGTATAATCAAATATACCTTTATATATTCTATTATATTTTCATATTCTTCTCTGGAAGGCTTCCATTATACTGTATGTGTTATTCATTATATTTACCCTATGTCAATTAGAACTGTTGCTTATTACATTCTAAGATTGATCTATTTGATGACTCTCAGGTTTTAGCTGGCATCAGAATCACCTGGGTTCTTCTTAAAATAGTTTGCTGCCTCTCCACTTTAGTCTCTGGAACAGAGTTCAAAAATTTCTCTTTATCAGTTTCCCAGCTGATGCTGAAGCTATTTCGGAACCGCATTTTGAGACCCATGCATCTAAAGTGTGTTTTCAGATCAATCTGTAAACTTGACTTTATCAGCAATATGAGATAATGAGTATAAATTATCTTACATTAACACATGTATTCTTTCTTTCCTTGCATTCACAGAAACAAGACATTCTTAATCAAGTAAGACATTTTCTTTTCTATTAAAATCTATCTTTTCTTTCTTTATTCTGATGTGAGCTATGAATTTCTCATCCTTATCTCTGAGCTATACTTCTGTACCAGTGAGATTCATATACAAGATTAACTGTAATATTTATAAAGATAAAAGTGACTGATATTTGTTCAAGTTAAAGACTCAAATAGAGAAACTATACCTCAATAGAATCAAAAAGGGTCCAGAGTGCAGCCTTCAGTTTTGTAGACTCTTGAACTTACTTTTTCTAATTTCACCAAAATATCATCAGGCTCTGGTAAAAAGATTTATTTAATGAAAGTCTTAAATTATTAATCTATGATGAGAGATTTAACAATAGGATTTAAATGCAATTGATAAGAACTTTTGATTGGTCTACAGTGCTATTAGCATATGTGAGGAAAATATGAGTGAAAAATTTGATTTTCACCCTCCTAGGAAAAAGACTAAACCCATCTGTGCTTTCAACCACTCTCTCATAGTCATGTCCACTTTGTAAAGCAGGTTTTAGGTCCATAGTTAAGTTGGATGCATAGAATTATAATACATTGTCGAGTCCTCTGAATGGAGGTTTATATCCCAGTAGGAATGTGTGCATGCGATCTTACTATTAATAAAATGCATGAGCTGTCTAAAACCATATTGTCTCCCTTGGACCAGACTAGGTATGTATTAGCTGCTTCTTTTTTTATTAGTATATGTATGTATTTTATTGAAGTATAGTTGACTTATAATGTGTCAGTTACACAATTCAGTTATACATATGCACATATATTACATTTCAGATGATTACCACTATAGATTATTACAAGATATTGACTATCGTTCCCTGTGCTATACATTAAACCTTTTTTGCTTATTGTGTATCTATTGTTTTAAATTAGAAATCTAGCATTCTATTCATACTAAGTCAAACAAATGAAATCAAAATGTAATAAAAATTTTAGCTAGGAAAAAATTCATGTTTTCTAAAATATATATATTATACATAATACACAAAAGCAAAGGCTTTTTTCTATGCTTGATAAAGGCTTAGAAAGAACATCAAAAAAAGAAGAGATAGAGAAACTGGAAAACATAAACTAAATGAAATGGAAGCATTGAGTATGAAATAGAAAAAGTGAAACAAGCTAGATAAAAGGTCATCATGTAGTCCAGTTGCTTTTAAATATGGCTACTCATTAGAAATACTATCTAGAGTTTTGGAGAAAAATGTACTAACTGCTTCTTATTCACTAGTTTCCCTGTTATTTCAATGACAGCATGCACTGTAGTTTCATCCCTGACATGTCCCAGTATGATTGATTACATCAGAATGAACTACACTGACTTTGACGCTGGTCCTACGTATTATGATCACCTAGGTTGCCACACAGCTGCAATGGAAATTTGTTGGTGGTGATAGTTGTTATTAGCCCCTTTCAGACCTGACCTCTGAGGAAACCTACTAGCTCCCACAAAGGCAGTTTCCACAAGGTTTATGTTATTAGATGGCAACTCCCATGGACAGAGGAGCCTGGCAGGCAACATTTCATGGGGTTGCAAAAGCGTCTGACGTGATTTAGTGACTAGACAACAACAACCCCTTCAGAATAAACAGTTGTTTTTATGAAGCAGGCTCTAGCTTCTGAAGGGCATTTGTTGTGTACTTTGGTTCACAAACACACCATCCCACACAAGCTGCCTTCCCGCTCCAGGCTGTCTGAAAGCTGGTGGCAGAGAGCCTGTCTCTGTACGGGGCCAGCCTAGTGAGCTGGCTGCTTTCTACTCCTTGTTCAGTCTTTGCTCTGTGTGCAGTTTAGCAGGGAAGCCGTTTCAGTTGCAGAGTATAAACGACGTGGAAAGCTGAGGGTAGCCCAAGGGAAAAAGCAGTGTGAGGCATGCATACTTATTGCCCTCCATGTGTCTTTTGTCTATCGGGTCCTGTGAGTATAAGATTTTCTTTTTACATTTCCTGTCAGTAGATGATTCTTGGCCCAAGGCTGAGTTAACTTTTTATAGCTCCCTGGGTATACCTTATCTTTGTACTCAGTACTCTGTACTGGGTTTATGCTAATGTGCCTAGCCTTTATATTCAGACAAGTGAGTTGCCTCAATCCCTTAATAAGAAACCTGGGAATTCAGAACCTACGTTTTGTAGTGCTGCTGCCTAATGTATATTTTAAATGTCTTTAGAAGGGATATTGATGCTATTATAATTAGTAGCAAAGATAAACACCCTTCTATTTTAAGCTGTAATTGTCCTCCCAGAATCAAATTCAACCTTTGCCATTAAAGAAACCTCCTTGAAAGTATAATAGAGAAAATACAGTCTTAGGAATCCAACTGAACCGAGCTCAAATTCCATGTCGGCCACATACAAGCAGGTCTTAGACTAGTTACTTCATCTCTCCTGGCCTCAGTTTGTTCACCTATCAAATGAAGAGAGCATTGCCTCTGCTTAGTTGTTGAAAGGGTTAAATTGTAAAGTAGATGTAAAATACTTAGCCCTGTATCTGTGAAAGGTGTCCCACTGATGTTCTGAGGCCGTGGTTGTTGGTCACACTGTTGGCAGGAACAGGCTTTCAGATGAAAGTTCTGGACAACTTATAAAAGATAAAACCAAGAATATCTGAGATATCCAAGCCATTCCTAGAACCTCAATTTTCTCAGAGCCTCAGTGTTTCTCATCCAGAAAGTCAGCAGGTCTAACACAGTGACTCTGAGGTCTGTTTCCATCGTTCAGTTGATTTCCTTCTAAGGTGTGAGTGGAGGACAAGTCGTGTGATTGGCTTCCCCCACCAAGCCTCGTTGCAATCTAGAATGCTGTCCTGGTGGTAGAGCTAGGGTGTCTGTTGTCCCCCACCCCCCACAACTGCATAAATGCCAGGACAGTTAGTTAGCAAGGAATGGATGTAACATGTTTACCAATGTTTCTGCTTGACTTCTACCCTATTGCTATCAACACACTTTCAGTCGTCTTCCTTATCTTATCAAACTTGTAACAAGAACACAGTTTTGAAAACGTACGATGAGATGGAAGAATAAAATGCCTACCATCATCCTGTCATTAACCTGATTTTGATTATGTATTACTTATTGTTGAAATACTTTGTAACTTTTATTTCAACACGTGGCCTCAGTTTTTATGCCCTTGATACTCTGAGAACTGCTCTCACATGGAATGGACCATGTCCAAAAATTTGAGAAAATATTTGCATAGCTCCTTGTGAGATTAATTAGTTATGTCATAATTAAACAAATCAATTTGAATAACTCCTTGCAGGTTTCTAGTAATTGCACTGAGGAGCAAAATCTCAATGTTTCCAAAAAACACACTGTTTTATATCTGTGAAAATATTTGGAATTTGAGAATAGACCATCTGCCACATCTTATCCTAAATTGCAAGCTTAATGATTTAACTACTTAAAGTGACTAGGTGATATCTGTCACAGTCAACATGTCACAAATGATCCATTTCTCCCTTAATGTTCTGTAATAAATATACAGAAATTTGAAAATAGGTAAATATTTAGAATATATAAAATGTAATTATACTAATTGCTTCCAATTGCTTTTTCTACAGATGAGCTGCTAAAACAAGCTTAAATTGAAAAATAGACTGGTAACTCTCTTTAATTTGATGATAAGCACTAACTTTGACATGTAGTAAACATTCTGTATAGGTTACTCCTTCATTTCTTTTTTTTCCCTAACACCATACACAAAGATAAACTCAAAATGGATGAAAGACCTAAATATAAGACCAGAAACTATAAAACTCTTAGAGGAAAATATAGGCAGAACACTCTATGACATAAATCACAGCAAGATCCTCTATGACCCACCTCCTAAGGAAATGGAAATAACACCAAAAATAGACAAGTGAGACCTAATTAAACTGAAAAGCTTTTGCATAGCAAAGGAAACTACAAACAGGTTGAAAAGACAGAATGAGGGAAAATAATAGTAAATGGAACAACTAACAAAGGATTAATCTCCAAAATATACAAGCAGCTCATGCAACGCAATACCAGAAAAACAGACAACCCAATCAAAAAGTGAGCAGGAGACCTAAACAGACATTTCTCCAAAGAAGAAGTGCAGATTGTCTTTCATTTCTTTCATAGCATTTATTAAATGATTCATATAAGAGTTAAAAATCAGAGAAAAAGTGATGTTGGGAACTTCAGGTGATCTTTTTCACTTGTTTAAGGACAAATAGGGGCTTCCCTGGTAGCTCAGCTGGTAAAGAATCCACCTGCAATGCACGTGACCCCTGTTTGATTCCTGGGTTGGGAAGATCCCCTAGAGAGGGATAGGCTACCCATTGCAGTATACTTGGGCTTGCCTGGAGTCTCAGACAGTAAAGAATCTACCTGCAATGTGGGAGACCTGGGTTTGATCCCTGGGTTGGGACCCTGGAGGAGGGCATGGTAACCCACTCCAGTATTCTTGCCTGGAAAATCCCTGTGGATAGAAGAGCCTGGTGGGCTACAGTCATGGGTTTGCAAAGAGTCAAGCATGACTGAGCGACTAAGCACAAAGATAAACAGAGAAAATTCTTTAGGTGCTTGCTACACCTAAAATTTATCTGAAGGTTTGTCTGCTGTGTTTGTTTGTGTGTTTGCATCAATAGGAATAGATTTTTTCAAAAGGAGTACATTTAAGGATATTAGTGGAAAATCTGGACATTTGTGTATAAGGACTTAGAGTGTCTAAGGATTTTAAGTTTGTTTTTTTTTAAGTAGCTAGAGGAAATGATACATAATATTCTTAAGATCAATAACCAGTAACACTGAAGAAGCTGAAGTTGAACGGTTCTATGAAGACCAAGACCTTCTAGAACTAACACCCAAAAAAGATGTCCTTTTCATTATAGGGGACTGGAATGCAAAAGTAGTAAGTCAAGAAGCACCTGGAGTAACAGGCAAATTTGGCCTTGGAGTACGGAATGAAGCAGGGCAAAGGCTAACAGAGTTTTGCCAAGAGAATGCACCGGTCATA